TCCTGTGTGGATTATTAAGATTTTTTTTTTTGGTAGAGTTTGTTGCTTGAAGTTTTTAGGTCCTAGTACTAGATGGATTACTTGGTAAACATGCACATTGGCCACGTTTACATGATGTTTTTTAATTCCGAATTACATCGTTTGGAGTTAAATTGGAGTTTACATAGAAATAATAATTCCGAATTGAGGTGTACATGGAAAACTCGTTAAATCGCCTTTATTTAATTCAGCGTCCGGGAGTGGAAAAGGTTCTGATCGGACAGGGACACCAACGTATTTACGTCGACCGGAAGAAAACACTTCACTTCAGCTGCTACCGGCTTTTTTGTCATCTCGGTTTGTCGTTACTCCACGGACACAAACACGATCCAGACTTTTTTCTCGGGGTCTGTTTACACTAGAACGTTAATTGCGGGTAAAAAACGGGAAAATATTTTATGGGAAGTGCCTTTCATTTAGACGGTAACTGCGTTTTTGGGGATTAAAAACGCAAAAATCTGAAACCACCCTGTATATGGACTGAACCAGGACTAAACCAGGTCTAAACCAGGACTAATCTTGGACTAGGACTTGGACTCTAGTTCCTCCCCTCACAGAACCCTGAGCTCGTGGAGCAGAGTTTCCTCAAAGCTCGATCGGGCGTCGGCTGTTCTTCACCCTGTGGAGCGTGGAGTTCTGCGTCGGTCCTTTCGCCCGCGGTCACCCGACGGTCTACGCGGGCGCACCTCCGGGCCCGTCCTGACACTCGGAACCGTAACGATGGCGTGTGACCGATGCTGATATCGCCGTGATTTTAGTGAATTTGTATGAAGAAAAACAAAAACCCACCACTTCAATCCAGGTTAAAAAAGCATCGTGATGTGCGTTACTCACATTTGTACACAGTCAAATATTACCGTTTTTTTCTCTGTAATTACACATTATTGCGTCAAAGCAAAAAGCAACACAGTACAGGAACTTGTCACTTTTATAACGCGTTACTCAAAACACTGAGAGACATCGACCGGAAAAAAACACACACACAGCTGCTACCGGCTTTTTTGTCATCTCGGTTTTGTCGTTACGCCACGAACACAAACACGATCCAAACTTTTTTTTCAGGGCCTATTTACACGAGAACGTTAATTGCAGGTAAAAACGGCAACATATTTGATGGGAAGTGCCTTTTGTTTAGACGGTGACGGCGTTTTTGTCGACGCAAAAATCCGAAAACACCCTCCAGAGTGGAAAAATTGAACAAGTTTCACCGTAGTGTTTCTGTCTTCGCTGCCCAAGACGCAAAACTCTAGTCAGATCTGCTCACGTCGCGTACACGTTTACATCATGTACATCCTCACCGAGCGTCACCACCGAGCCGCCTGGCATGCGCACACAATCAAATTCCACACACTTTTGGGTCACCGTACGTTCGCAGATTTCCTCCCGAAAACGCTCGTCTAAACGCGGAATAAAAAGCGAAGACGCGCCGCCACTTTTGCATCTTCTGTTCCGACCGTCGTCATATAAACGTAGCCGATAATTACGAAGCAGCTGGAGAATTCTCTCGTCACGCTTCACGTCTGTCGGCGGAGGAGGAGAAAGGGAAGAGCGTCGGGAAGGGAGGAAGAAGACAAACTGAGTCGACGGCCGCTCTACCTCAGCCCACTCCCGCATCCCGCTCGCAAATCCAAAGAGACGTGGATGAAAGTCCGAGGAAAGCCAGGACTGGTGGAGCCGGGTCGAAGGGCGACACAACGACTGGGATTATTTTGAAGAAGAATAAACGTTTACATAATCGAGGAATAAATTCATTCGGCTTTAAAATCGGAATAAACCACCCACTTACTTTGGAATTAACTTTACTTTTGAATAATCGTTTTCATTTTTCATCAAACACTGTTAACACTGAACATGTACCAGTCAATTATAACCATGTGCAATTATTTTTAAGTCTATTTTTAAATTATTTTTAAGCTATTATTTGTTACCTTTTTCTGCTGTTCTGAAATAGTGCGTTGCAACACTGGAATTTCCCCACTGTGTAAAGGCGTATCTTATCTTATCTTATTAGGAATTAAGTGTTTACATGGTCTTTTTAAAGCAGAACTGTTTTTATTCAGAATTAAAACTCTCATGTAAACGCGTCAGTTCAGAACCTGCTCGGTGTGGTTATCTTCAAGCTTATCTTTAAGAGCTGGGCTTGGTCAGGACAGGAGTTTGAAAGGACAGCGCAAAGGAGGAAACCAGAGTGGAAACCAGAGGGAGAAATATGCAAACTCTGCACAGAGAAAAGGGCAGGGCCATGGAGCCGAGACCCAAACCGTCCTGGGCTTTCACAACTTCAAAAGGCCAGAGCGAAGTTTTGCCTAAACCACAGCCTCATTTCAATTTCACGTGTCTCTCAAATGCATTCAAAACAAAATGTATTACTTTATTATCGCAAGTAAAAGAAGTTATAGTCTAGAGCTTCTTGTTGAGTCCTTCATGTTGTTTTTTATTCCTTTTTTATGTTTAAGCAGCCGTGTAAACAGAGTCTTTCTAATTGAAAAAAATTGAAAAACTGGGACATCCCCGGTTTTTTGGTGGTCGGTAATAATAAAATTGTCAAACGAGTGCGTAATTAAGGAAAATTGTTAGGTAGAGACCATTTATGACAAACACGTGAGTCAATATAGTCACATTTTCTTCGTGTTTTGGTCGTTTTTAAGATGATTTTTTGACAATTTATGTCTCTCTTTACTGTTGACAGGGATCAAATTGGTCAAAAATATGGACATTTTTTTAAATAAAACTGGGACAAATTAAGTGGTTTTGGATAAATCTGCTGGGACAGGGGACACAGGGCTCAAAACCGGGACTGTCCCGGGTAAAAAGGAACGTCTGGTCAACCTACTCCAGATCCACTCGTCGTTGTACCGTTTAGTGAAAGCGCGTGGCTCTGACTGGACAGGTAAAGTTTTGGCGGCACGAAACTACTAACTAACAGAGACTTCGCACAAGCTTTATTCCTGGTCGAGCTGCAGTACAAACTATAATTTAAAAAAGCTGTTGAAAACACTGAAATCTGTTTTTACAGTATCTTTTTAGAGTGACCAGATGATCTTATTTACTCGGGACAGTCCCAGTTTTGAGCCCTGCTCTCGAATGCAAAACAGTTGGAAAGCTCATTGCGGGAGCGGGCGGGTGGCATGATAAACTTCATTCCCACAAACTAAATCTGAGTGTAAAGTAAAATATACAAATGATTCATGTTTCTATCACATATCATTTGTGCTGGATATTTTATTTGGCATTAATAAAATCATTTTAAGCAACCTGAACCTGTGGGTGTGCTCTAATCTCAGGAACATTTTAAACAATTCCTTTCCGCTTCTCTGTAAGTGAATGATCCCATTTTGCGAGATGTGTGTGGCAGCGGGATTGAAAATTACATTTCTTTGCAGGGACGGGTGGGAGCGGGACTGAAATTTCTTTCCCGCGCAGACCTCTACCCCGTGTCGCTTATCCCCGCAGATTAATCCAAAACCACTGATATGTCCCAGTTTTATACAAGAAACGTCCCAGGTGTGGCTATTTTTGACCAGTTTGATCCCTGCCAACAGTAAAGAGAGACATAAACTATAATTTTTTTTACATAAACTACAGAAAAGCTGCTTAAAAACGACCAAAACACAAAGAAAATGTGACTATACTGACTCACATGTTCGTCAATTTTATTTATTTTATTACCAACCTCCAAAGAAACGGGGATGTCCCAGTTTTTTATTTTGAAAATCTGGTCAACCTAATCTTTGTACTCAGGCAAGACAAATGTTATTGCAATTTGTACACCTCCTTTAACTCTTTCCCCCATGAAGACGACATTTGACGACCCCCCTGTTTCCTTAATGACGTGTTTTGACTCCTCCGCTGTTTCACTAAAGACGTGATTTGACGACCTTTAGAAACGGCTCGGTTTTTCACATTTAAACAGAGACTGCGGTAGGTGGAGCCACTACAACCCACACTAGACTGACCAATAGGATTCAAGGATATGTTTTCGCCGATTTTTTCCGAAGTTAATCGAAGTAGTGACGATGGTAGCTTCCGGAAAAAACACAACACGAAACACGAGCAATGGAAAGATCGCGGCGCACAGTTTTAGAAATAATGAGGAGCGGACGTGTTTTATGGATAAGTTTAGAGAAAGTGACTTTTATTGATTTCAAAGTGATGATGAAGTTGATTATAAAGTGGAAAACAGCGATAGCGATCGTATAACAGAATCGCTACAGAAAAAACGCTTATGTGGAGCTCTGCGCATGAGAAAATAGCCAAGATGACAAATACTGGACACACACTGACGGGGAAGAGTTTTATTATTATATTATAATAAGCTAAATGAGTTGAATAAATTAAATGAGTTGAATAAATTAAATAAGTTGAATAAGCTAAATGGAAAAAATGAATGAGGTGCACACAGGTGAACAACAGGTAAAAACAGGTGCACACTTGGCTCTACTGTATCTGCTGATATGAAATCTGTTTAAATACTTTGACAAAGTATATATATATATATTTTTTTATGAATATAGTACTCAGAACATGTATATATCAGATGCTGAATGTAGTTTTTTGTTTTCGATTTTGCACCTGACCAGGTAAACTCTCATTTTCAGTGAGCTGTTATACACCTGTAAATGAGTTGAATCACATTTAAACATCCAGAAATGAAGAGTTCAGAGTCTGAGGTTTCCAGAGATACAAATATGTCTGTGTTACAATTAAGTTCATGAGTGTAAAAATTAATTTATAATCACTGGTGGAAGTCTGTTTTCTTTTATGCAGTTATGCTCTATGGGCAGAACTAGTAACATATGTCTGGGTTGTTCCTAGTACAAGTCCAGGGGGGAAAGAGTTAAGGTTAGATTGATGTGGGAAACCAAAACACAAAGCATTTCTACTTGTTAATCTTAGTTATATAAGCTTCACTCAGATTTTTTTTTCCCGTTGTGTGCACAGCTACAGCCTTTATTGAAAGCATGAGTCACCCACTGCACAATCACTATGTACGTTTGCCGTTGGGCGTTTCTGCTGTTGATTCTGAGAAACAGTACCCGACGTTCACCTGCTTCTGCCTCGACACGCCTTTGTTTGGGTCTATAAATACCCCTCCTCGCTCTGCGCTCGTCTCCTCCTCGACACATTCACTCCCCGCCGTCTGCCCGCGCGTCCTCGTCTCTCCTGCAGAAATGTCTGAGCCCGGCCACGCGTCCACGATCCCGGGGGCCCTCGCCGCGCTCATGCAGGTGTTCGACCACCACGCCGCCCAAGACGAGCACGGCCCCAAAGACAAACTGAGCAAAAAGGAACTGAAGAAGCTGATAGAGACGGAGCTGACGTGTATGGTCGAGGTGAGGAGACTTGATTTTAAACCGTTAACCTTTTATGCACACAGTATTCTGCAAAATAAAAAGATATCTGCAAATGTTGGGTCTCAGATGACGTCAAAACTTCCTACAGTTTACAGTTTAAAGTAACGTAATCGAGTAATCTGATCCGGGAGTATGACGTCATCATATCCTCGAATGTGGCTTGAATTCTGAATCTGTTTTATTTAATTTAATTTTTCAATCAACTTTTCAGCTTTTTTTTAAATAAGTGTAGCTCTTTTTTTTTCACTTGAGCTTGAAATTTGATTACGTAGAAACACTGTACGTAGTAAAGTACATTGTGAAGTAATGATTGATGTGTGAATACTCAGTAGTATTTTATTGTAATAGAAACTCGTTTACACCTCTTGTGAAGGTCCATTGTTGTATTTACTATAATGTACTTTGCAAGACTTAACTTTAATTTACTTTAAAAGACTTTACTATGAAACACTTTACTATATGTTTACTTTATGAGACATTACTAAAATTTACTTTGAGAGACTTTACTAAAATTTTACTTAGCAAGACTTTACTATATGTTTATTTTTACAAGACTTTATTAAAATTTACTTTCTGAGACTTTACTGAAATTTACATTGTGTGAAGTTACTGTAATTAAATTTGCGAGACTTTAAGAGATTTTACAAAAATTTACTTTGAAAGACTTTACTATGTAACACTTTACTAAAATTTACTTTATAAGACTTTACTATAATTTACTTTGTGAGACTTTACTAAAATTGACTTTGCAAGACTTTACTATACAACGCTTTACTATAATTTACTTTACGAGATTTTACTAAAATTGACTTTGCAAGAATATATTAAAATTTACTTTATGAGACTTTACTGAAATTACATTGTGGGACTTTACTATAGTTTACTTTGCAAGACTACTATGCCACGCTTCACTATAATTTACTTTACGAGACATTAATGTAATTTACTTTGCGAGACTTTACTAAAATTTACTTTGAAAGACTTGATAATGTAACACTTTACTATAATTTACTTTATAAGACTTTACTATAATTTACTCTGAGACTTTACTAAAATTTACTTTTCAAGACTTTACAAGACTTTACTAAAATTGACTTTACAAGACTTTACTATAATTTACTTTTTGGGACTTTACTACAGTTTCCTTTGCGAGACTTTACTAAAATTTACTTAGCAAGACTTAACTAAAATGTACTTTACGAGACTTTACTATGCAACACTTTACTCTATTTTACAAGACTTTACTATTCTTTACTATAATTTACTTTGCAAGACTTTACGATAATTTACTTTATGAGATTTTACAAAAATTTACTTTGCAAGAATATACTAAAATGTACTTTCCGAGACTTTACTACAAGGTCCTTTATGAGACTAAGTTTACTTTTTGAGACTTTACAAATATTTACTTTGAGACTTTTCTAAAATTTACTTTCCGGGACTTAAACCATAATTTACTTTACAAGACTTTACTAAGATTTAATTTACAATCATTCAGTCAATCATTTTAAAGACTTCACTGTAATTTACTTTGTGAGACTTGTCTGTAATTAATTTTGTGAGACTTCACTGTAATTTACTTGCCGAAATTTTAATTTACTTTACGGGACTTTTCTTTAATTTACACTGCAAGACTTAATGTGACTGGACTCTGATTTTTACTCAATTTTCCCCTGTTACTATTTTGTGAATATTAATGTAAATCCTGATTTTGACAGAAAGGAGACGATGCCAAGTTGAACGAGATGTTTTCCTTCATGGACATGGACGGGGACGGGCAGGTGGACTTCGAGGAGTTCATGATGGTGCTGGCGTGTTTCGCCTGCATCTGTCACGGACGCGAGTACGAACTGAAAGCTGCAAAGTGAACGCACCGAGCTTTTACACTAGTGTTTGTCGTGGAAATTGTATGATGCTGCCAAATAAAAAAAATAATCTAAAATATTTTCAAGATGGAGTTGTTATTGTGTGTAAAAAGTTAAATACAGTACTGCACATGACATAATAAATAATATAATAAACAGTATTGGGGAGTAACAGATTACATGTACCGGAGTTACGTAATCAGAGTACAAATTATGAGTAACTGTATTCAGTTACAGTTACTGTTTCAGTGAGTGGTAATTGGATTACAGTTACTTGGTTGAAATAAATGGATTACACAGAGGTATTTTACGGTTTTCATTACAAATGAGCCTTCATGTTATAAACCTTTAACCTGCACCAGCGTCTTTCCTACGACTTCTGTCTTGGTTCATGTCTTGCTGGGCACTGTCCCTGTACAAATTAAATGCAAACCTTACCATACCAGGAAGTACGCCGTTAGCATGCTAGTTCTAAAAGTTGTGGAAGTTGTGGCTGTGGAGTTTAGGATGCTCTGAATGCATAAAGTACTTGAGAAAAAACTCTGGAGGACTGACGACTGTTTAAAACGAAGTAGTTCTGTTTGTCACGTTTTTAAGACAGTAAAAATCAGGTAGAGTGTTGTGGCAAAAATGATATGTCTCTTGAAGATAAATAATGAATCCATTTGCGAAGCCCGATGAGGTTTTGGAATATTGACCAAGGTTTATTCGTGTTACAGCAGCCCAACAGCCTCTCCCCACCAACAGTATCTCACGTCTCCCTCCCCATGTCTCGAGCATTTAAGCTCTCAATATTTATACAGAAATACAAGTTACATACATATCAAAGTACGAAAGTGACGACTCCTACTGAGGTGTGGCCGGATGTGCTTGATCTGATTTGCCTCCATATTCACCTGCATTTGTCACTTCCTGACATGATTAGCAAGCAAAAGGGAACAGTATTTAAAGGTTGTATAGAGGATTTTTTAAGGAAAGAGACTGCAGCGACAGTCGTTTTTCAAATGTTGTGCAGCTCCTTCAGTAGAAACATCTCCTCCCGCCTCCTTACTCTAGAAATCACATTTGTTTACAGTCATTGCGTGTTCAGAATCACTGTTGAGAAATAATTTAGCGACTGATGCGTCAGTTTTTAGACCCTTTGTCTGCTTCATTCGCGCAATCGCTGGAAGGAATCTCCAAGAATCACCTCAGTTTGTCTTTGCTCCTTTTCTCCTTCTCTTCTTCTTTCAGCGACCTCAAAAATTGACTTTCTTTTGCAGCGAACTGGTCCTGGATTCTCGTCCGCCGTCTCAACAAACTTTGTGCAAACTGCGACGAAGCTGCAGTTTAAAAAAGCCTCTAAAAAACGCTGTATAAACCACGTAATCCCCGCGCATCTTGAGTAGTTACACTAGAAATGTAGGGAGTTTGATTGACAACCTAACAGCCAATAGAAAATGAGGCAGCCTCATTTTCTATTGGCTGATGTTTATCTGGCCTCACTACGTCCACAGTTGATAGATTTTCATTCTTTTTTTTTTTGTCATCATAATTACAAGGCTGCTGTGTCTCTGTAATGGTATTTTAAACTTTCATTGACAATTTGAAACAAAAACAAAAAAAATCCTCCATACAACCTTTAAGTATTTACATTGAAGGGTCTTTCTAACAAGCCAAATGAGTTTTAGTTACAAGACCAAATGTGTTTCTAAAAGATAAACTAATCACTATTTTAATCAATATTTTCCTGTGGGGTTCTGGTCTCAGGTAGAAAACACATTCATTTACACAAAGACAGAATGAGAGAAATCTTTCCACAATCTAAATTTCTATCACAAGAGCATCTTTAACTCTTCTAAAATAATAATTATGAAGCACACAGAGGTATGTTTTTAAGAAGTTTTATTTCATGCTTGTGTCGCCAGATTCAGGTGTTACAGAGCTCGGCAGAGGCAGGTCGGTGTTTAGTGTTTGCGCTTGTCACACACGATGGGCTCGGTGATGGTTCCGCAGGGTCCTCGGGGGAAGGAGGGCTCGCACATGCTCGGGATCTTGCACAGACGGTCGTGGAGGATGCAGGTGACGACGCCCAGAGCGGTCATGAACTCCGGGAAGTCGATCTTCTTGTCCCCGTCGCGGTCCATCATGGCGAAGGTGTCGGCCAGTTTGCGAGGGTTTTCGCCATCCTGGAGAGACACAACAACACGATCATTCCTCACGCGTTAGAATCAGCGTGGGTCATTTGTAAGGCCACGTTTATATGACGACGGTCTGAACAGAAGATGCAAAAGTGGCGTCGCGTCTTCACTTTTTATTCCGCGTTTGGACAAGCGTGTTCGGGAGGAAATCTGCGTGCGTACGGAGATGCAAAAGTGTGTGGAATTCGACTGAATAATGGGTATGCATGCCAGGTTTCTGTGTACTGTATGTAAGTTACGTAAACGCGTACACGACCTGAGCACATCTGACCAGAGTTTTGCGTCTTGGGCAGTGTAGACGGAAACTCTACGTCTTTTCCACTCTGGAGGGCGGTTTCAGATTTTTGCATTTTTAAGCCCCAAAAAAGCTGTCACCGTCTAAACGAAAGGCACTTCCCATAAAACATTTTGTTGTTTTTACCCGCAAGCATTCTCGTGTAAACAGACTCTCAGTTTGCTTTTTTCTGTGCTATTTGGTTCTTTTTTTCAGACCTAGAGTTTGTTTTCATACCTGACAGTGAACCAGTGAAACCGTACAAAAAACTCAGGCAACTACTCGTCCACGCAAAAGATAAAATCGATAAAATGTAATGTTATATACAAAATACTCTCTATGTTGTGCAATAAAACACACATCGAGGAAAGGAGGAGGGCGTTCAGTCCCCAAAAAAGGAACAGAGAACAGAATGCGAGAAGGAAACGGCGAAGGTGGAACAAAACACAAAGCAAAACAGGAACAAGTCAAATTGGCCGTTCGTGACTCTGTAAAAGAGAGAAGCAAATTCTGGACTGGGACGGAGCAAACATCAATGGGACAGACGAAAACAAACATCATCGCTGGATTAAAAAGACAATCGAAATACATAAACGTGCCCACGGGACGATAAACCGGGACAAAGGGGCTTTTTTTACTCTCACACACCTCGGCTTCTGTCTTGAGGAAGCGGGACTGCAGGTGGCGCTGTCATCCTGCCTCCAACGGTAGGAAGACAGTGCCAAAACCTATTTAATGCCGGGCGTTTCGATCGTTTCACTCAGCCCCAGCTCAGACTGTACGACCAGATCACAGGGTTTAAAAGTTCACAGCTCACGATTCATGTTCTCACACTACTATGGTGCAGCAATAGCTAAAAAAAAGACTGAGGGAACTACACAGACCATGATCCTTTGCTCCATTTCAGTGCAGACTACAAGAAGAAATAACAGTCTTAGTTCTTTGGATTAAGTCTTGTCAAGGCAAGAGAGGAAAAAGTTGCATATTAGCAGTTTTATTGGCCTCCACAAAATATCACAATAAATATCGTACCGTGAAAATATCGTACAGAGAGATTTGGATATTGTTGCATCCCTAATCGTGAGCTTTCCCACAATATCGCAATAAATATCGTACCATGAGGTTCATACTAGAGGTCTGCGCGGGACAGATTTTTCAGTTCCGCTCCCGCCACTGTGGAGTCCTGCGCCCGCCCACTCCCGCAAAAAAATTTAATTTTCAGTCGCATCTGTGATATTTTGTCCCGCGCCCGCCCGTAAGTCGAGCAGGATGGGAACCTTTGCGTTCTTAAACTCTGTCAAACACAGAGAAGTGAAAGGAATTGGGCTGCGTATGGGGGGAGGTGCGGTGGGCGGTCCGGCGGCATGGTCAAGTCCTGGCTAAATCCTGTGTTAGTCCTGGTTTTAGACCTGTTTTTAGCCCTGGTTTAGTCCTGGTTTAGTGGCGTGGCCCGCGCGACGTACAGGACGAGCGTGGACTCTCCGCACGGTGTATGGGAGGGGGGGACGTCTGCTACTTAAAATGTTTTTATTAATGCCAAATAAAATATCCAGTGCAAATTATGCATGGTATGCTTACATTCATTTGTATATTTTACTTTACATTCATATTTAGTTTGCAGGACTGCAGCTTATCATCCCTCCCGCCCGCTCCCGTGTTGTGCAGTCTCGCTCCCGTCCACAGTGAGCTTTCAAAATTTGTCCCGCGAGGCACTGTTTTGCGTCGGGTCCCGGGCTCTGGTTCGTACCGTGATGATATTGTATCGTGAGAGTTGGATATCGTTACATCCCTACAAGATATATATACATTTGTCAGTGAAAGACATTCATACCAGACAGACAGACAGACAGATACATCCAGAACAACATAGAAAAGATAGTTAAAGTTAGTAGTTCATCCATACAACTGTACAACAACTCACCCTGACCCCCAGTTTACCCCAAAGCAGTAAAGTAAACGCAGCAGCACATCGTACACGCAGCCATCGCGCTTCATTTTAACCGGTGGGACAGTTTACACCAGCAGTGTCATATGTGCATTACATTACACGCCCCTCAAATAAGGTTGGAGTTCTAATTTTTCCGCGCCAGAGCGTCTCCAAGCTTTTAGCAGGGGCAATTTTAGTGTCAAAATTTACTTCCGATGTCCTTTAAAATACGTTTTCTAAAACCACTACAGTCACGTAAACACCGTGCTTCGCATCAGGAGCTCGAGGAACGACTCGTGATGGACACGGAAAGTTTACAGCCGCGGAGGATAAATATAAAAACTCTTTACAAAATCAGACAGGAACTTTACAAGAAGAACTTCTGAAGGAAAAGGAGCGAGGAGCAGACGACCAAAGTGAAACGGTGAGTAGCTTTATTAATGCAGCACTGACTTGTTATCGCTGCAAAACATCTCTCTGTCAACTTCCAATCCAATAATGAATGCATAAATAATGTAAAAAGTTTAGTCTTTAAATGTGAAAATATACAGAGGCTGGTGTAAATTGAAGCTTTTAAAAGTTTGCGCATATGCAGCTCTGCTTACTCTGCTTACGTGCTGCTGACGCTGTTATGTAACAGATAATACTCCCTACAACTGTACAACTACACACCCTTATGTAATAGACAACCCTGTTTC